GGCCAGTAAAAAGCGAGGACTCGGAAGAACATGCTTTTCTGACCTCAGGTGTTGGGTAGGGAGAGCGGCGCCTCGCACTGCCGATACTCCTCTCCCCCCCGTAGCCCCACCTCCACTGCATTATCGGTGCGGCCTCGCTAGAGTCGCGGAGGATAGGGCGGGTGGCGCATCGTCATACAAACACTCTTCTTCCCCTGCGACTCCACCTCGGCTGCGCCGCGAAGAGAGAGGGGACACTCTTCCTACCGCAATCCTCCAACGCGCATCCGGAGTGCGCTAGACAAGTCCACTCGGAGCGACCACCTCGGGCCGGCCCTACTACTCGGGCCAAGAGTTTCCACTTTGTTCACCGTGGGTGACCAAGCCACAGCAACTAAGCCCCCCCCCCCCCCACCCACCTCGCCACGACAAGGTTTTAACCCGTTCAGTGAAGGGGCGCCGTTGGTCTAGTGGTCGAAATGCGACTCTTGATCCTGAGATCTTCGTTTCAAACCCGCTAAAGTAGGTTATTGGGTTTTTCTGTAAGGAAATTCTCAGTAACAGCCCGAAGTCAGTAAGCAAGTTAATCCGTTGGTCCTTCGCCTGAGCCCTCTCTCGACGCATTGGATTGTCGCCCCATCGGACTATCAGAACGAGGGAATAGAGTTCACCTGCGTTTGCACACACACTCGTTCACTATGATTAAAGACACGATAAATTATCCTGAGCAGATGGCTAGTCTCCGTTGAGACTAGCCATCGTGATCGAAATTCAGTCTGGATAATGCTACCAATACCTATACATACAGTATTACATACAACCGAATATCTGCACCTGAACGTGAACGGCCACAGTACCCTCTTAAACAGTTTAAGGTGTCACAATCACACGGAAAGATACTGGGTTAATTTTGTTTTGGATCATGAAGATATTAATCAGATTATTACAATAAATAATATGAAGTACGTTAGTTTGTATATTTGTCGCTCACTGATTGAATGGCGGGAAAGATTGAAACGAGATTTGACAGTATCACCATACTGCCATACTATTATACGCTGGTATTCTGTGAGGGGCGTGGTCCTTCCCCGGTCGACCCGACTCATTTTTGCTACAACCATAATAAAGCAGTGTGGCTGAACGCCGAATACAGAAAGCATTAGTCACGGAATAGGACGAAGGTTATCTTTTCATAAAAAAAAATGCGTTGAGTGTCGCTTTTACTGTTCTGTACCAAAATTATCAAAACGGAACCTACAAAAGGATATTGCTGTGTGGTGGTGGCATAAAATAATACGTCAAATAATAATACTTTTAAGTCGTATTTCATTTAGGGCATCATTGAATGCTCGCTCCAACGCAGTTTTCTCTACTCCTTTTTGCAGAAGTAAGTATTCGAAAAACTGGTTTCTGGTTCGTGTTTGCAACACACATAATGAGCGTTATAATTAACTGCAAACTAAACGGTTATATTACATTTAAGCAATTTGATCAAGCTTAGGTGGTGTGTGTACTTCTTGTTCTCTATCTGAATATAAAATTACCTTTACTAACATTGTTATTAGTTATGCATTAAGTACATGTTTCTCTTTGGCAAAACACAAATATGTACTTCATTTAATTATGTCTAAAGTTTTCGCTATGTAATTCTTAACGTTGGAAACTGTTCTGGTTAATGTATTGTTAACATTCATCTTAAATTCAAATGTGATATAAGAGCTGTAAGTTTCTTTGAATAAGTAAATTAAAAAAAAACCGGCCAAGTGCGAGTCGGACTCGCGCACCGAGGGTTCGGAATTCTGAACAAATCCTTTGGTATATAAGTTTAAAGTTATTAAAAATATTTTTATTATATGGTGTAACTAAAAATGTATGCTTTTCGCAATTTTTCCTTTATCTGTGCTATAATACGTTGCTTGGTACCAAATTTTAAGATTCTGAGTTCACGGAAGTACCCTGTAGGTTTTGATTCCATTGCGAATGTCGAAAATTTGCGGCATAAACGGCTGTATCTTTTGATTGCGTTGGCTTAGACGTTTGAATTTTTCACAGCTCCAAGAGACAGTAGACTTGAGTATTTGATATGAATTTCAGCTTGATACCTCCACGCGTTCCTGAGGAAAAGGGTCTTGACAGACAGACAGACGGGCAACAAAGTGATCCTATAAGGGTTCCGCTTTTTTCCTTTTGAGGTACGGAACCCTAAAAATCACCCCATTTCGTTCCGTGGATGTCGTAAGGCTTTGAGAAATTCTAGAAAAATCTTATGGCTTCCCATAGACGGCAGTATAACCATGTCGTTTACGCCTGGACAAAAATACACAAAAAATCAACAGCCAGCAGCGTTAAAGATGCGAGACTTCCTGCACTCCGATTGATCCGCCTGCTAAGCTTAAAGATTATGGCAAATCCTCGTTACGACGGGAGAGGCCCATGTAGCAAGGTGTTTCTTTAAGGTGTGATAACGAGTTATGAAAAGAACTGAACTGAGAGCTGAAAGAAGTTGGACCAGCAGTATGCCAGTACGAATGTTTTGTCCGTACCCCCTGGTGCACGTTTCTATACATAATCGTACCAAACACGTCCCGCTGCTCGAAAAGCAAACGTGGTACCATTTCATTCACGTGAATTTTTTTTTATAGGATAGGGTGACAAATGGGCACACAGTCCACCTGATGGTAAGTGATTGCTATGGCCCATAATCATGTACATCTATTCTCAATGAAGAATCGAAATGCAGATGCGTTTTCACCCGTGAGGACTAAGATGGAATGCCTCTTTTCCAGTAAAAAGGATCTCCGGTTCTCTACACTCACCATACGAAACACAGCAGTGTTAAGCTGCTATTTTATGCTGGTACTCTGTGAGAGCGTGGTCCTTCCCCTGTCGAGTCGACCCATTCGTACTACAGCTATACTACTAATATAGCTGTAGCATGGCTCTACCACGTATAAAATTTCTAAATTCTCGGAGATGTAGCTGAGCTCCATGGCAACATAGCGGGACACTTCTTTCCTTGGCTGCCGTGTGGACAAACCAAAATCTACCAATTATTTCAGATTATAATATATTCCTGATTTAATTGATTGCAACGCTTCTTTGATTGTCGACTAAATTATTATGCGCTCTTGTATATCCCACAGCTAGAGAGGAACAGTCACACAGACAGCACGTAGCAGTTTACTGCTGGACTTGGGGCTGACATGGGTTGTACAATTACACAAATGCTGTCTTTACAAAAAACTTGTAACCATAGGACAAAATATATTTGTTTCGATGAAAAAAATGTGGATGCGCAAAAACTGATTATATAGGTACAATTTGTTACGCTCATTAATGCTTTTGTAAAATTGTAAACGTTTATTTCTGCAAGTATAAAATGATTCTCATTAAAAATTATTCAGTGCGAAATTACGAATCTGTCTTGAGGAACTCTGTCTGAGGCAGACCCTTGAATTTGACCATTGAATTCTAAAATTTAGATCGAATAAACTCTACATTGGTCTGGCAATTAAAAATAGTTTTATTCCCGTAATATACCATTTACTTCATTTAATTATCAATATGATATACAAAATGATGTAATTTATCATATGGTACTAGTGATGTAAATAATTTAAAATTAAAAATTTTATACAGCCGACTTCAATATAAGTTATTAAGAATAACTCAATAACTATTGGTCTGACCTTGATCAAATTCATATGGTACCACAAGAGAAGTATCAGCTTTCAAATAAAAAAAATAATCATCGAAATCGGTTCACACAGAAAAAAGTTATGAGATAACACACTTAAAAAAAATTAAAAAAAACATACAGTCTAATTGAGTACCGTCTCCTTTTTGGAAGTCGGCAGAAAAATCCATCATCCTGTGTAGTTTCGTGGGGTTGTAAGTGGCACTATGAGAAAGAGACAATAACCTTATGGCTTCTGATAGAGAGATATAACTAACCATCTTGTAATATAATACCAAGTGAAGAAATACCCAGACTGAGGAGCAGAGGCAAAGGTGTGAGAGGTCTGATGGTATATACAAGTGAAGAAATACCCAGGATGAGGAGCAGATGCAAAGGTGTGGATGGAAGGTCTGTTGGTATTATCGCTCCTTACTCTTAGAGAGGCACATGACCACTAGTGGACTGTAATCTGCTGTTAAAGAAGATGTTACCTTTAAATTACCTCTTTTAGTTATGAGTTCTATTTTTTTAAACAAAATTTTTATTCTTTTATGTATTTTAAGGATATTCCAGCTTGACCAATCAGTATTTAGTTTTTGTAGTTCCATATATTTTGTACAACACTCAATTGTTTTTGAAAATACTTGTCCTCTTAAGCATGAATCATTTCGCTCATTTCGCTTTATGGAAATTCCCGCAAGATCTTAAGGACTTTGATCGGTGGTGACATAATTATTTAGTTTTTATATCAGATGTTAAATAGGTACCCAGTCTGACTGGTGACGGGAACAAGCATTGAATGGGAGAGGCCCGTGTACATCATGAGCTAAAATAACGATGCTCATAATCCCTAAAATACATTATATATAAAATAATGTCCTTCAGGCCGTAAAAACACAGCCAATATTCTGAATCTGGGCTGCTACTATGTATTTCTTGATAAAATTGATTTTTTGCCCGACGCGAGAGCACATAATGATGATCAGCGATTGCGCTAACGACCACTGGAGCAGCGAGGCAGTCAAACATTAAAAATAATGACATGAAATTCGCCAGTCATAGCGTTAATGCGTAAATTGTTTTATTTTTGTTTTCATGTAATACCGTAGTACTATTATTTATTCTGTGGTAATAATCGACCTTACCTTAGATACGACGCCATGCCATAAACGAACTAGGCAATCAATGATCATGGACGAATAACGATAGGATGTTGAAGTGGAACGCAAGGTGAGGCTTTCATCGGGTGTTGTGCTGCGGCCTGCGGATGTCTAGGTCGGCGGTCGGCGGGCCGAAACGAACCGCGCCATACGTAGTATCCACTAAGTAGTCTGTGCGCGCCAGTTGAAGGAAGACAAGCGCGCGCGCTTCTCGTACACTTGGCGCATGCGCGCTGTAGAACCTTCGTGCGTGTTTAAGTGTTTTACGTGTATACTGAAAACAAGAAATAAACATGAAGCTCCATTTTAAAGTGTTCGGTGAGATTTTTTCTATTAAAGTTCCTTTATTTAGAAGTAAATAAAATGTAAGTTATTGACGTCACTCTTTATGAAGGTAGTTATAAAAAATAATGTCAATGATGAATATTTTTTTTCCTCTTGCGCGGACAATTAATATATCCTTATTATAATAAGATTATTTCATTAATTTAGAACAAAAATAAAGTTTTATAAATTAGTAAATTAAAGTAAGATTTCTATGGGAGGCACAATGCGGATTTAGACCTGGAAGAGGATGCACGGATCAAATGTTTTCTCTCCGCATGATCACGGAGAAGCTTCTGGCTGCTAACCAGAAGATTTTCTGTGCTTTTGTGGATCTTAAGAAAGCATTTGATAAGGTTGTAAGGAAGAAAATGTGGGAACTGTTGCCGGGGTATGGTGTGGATGGTCGATTGCTAAGGGCTGTGCAGTCTCTTTACTGTGACTGTAAAGCCTGTGTGCGGGTAGGGCATGACCTGTCACCCATGTTTAACGTCCAAACGGGCGTAAAGCAGGGTTGTGTCATGTCTTCCTGGCTGTTCATACTGTATCTCGACAGCTGTTTACAGAAGCTGAAAGATAGCTGTTTGGGTGTGAAATTGGGTGACATAAAAGTAAATTGTCTGCTGTATGCTGATGATGCAGTGCTTATTGCACCATCAGAGGCAGAACTGCAGGCATTAGTCACGTGTATGAAAGAGGAATGTGAAATTAAAGGTCTCCGTTTGAATGCTAATAAAACTAAGGTTCTGGTATTTGAAAGGGACGAAGAGAGAACGAAGTGTGAAATATGGGTAAATCAGGAATGTCTAGAACAGGTAAATGAAATTGTATACTTGGGGAGTGCTTTTAGCCGGGATGGAAGATGTGATTTAGATGTGGACAGGCGTGTCGCTGCCGGGAACAAAGTCAATGGTGCCCTGACTGCGTTAGTCAAAAGGCAAGGCGTAGCGAAGAGTGCACGCCTTGCAATACATAACGCAGTGTTGGTACCGACTTTGTTATATGGCAGCGAAACCTGGGTATGCCAGAAGAAGCATAAAAGTAAGTTGAATGCAGTGGAGATGCGATCTCTTCGTAAAATGTGCGGCGTTACTATGGCCGACCGAAAGCGAAACGAAGAGATTCGCTCGCAATATGTCAGGTTTGAAAGATGACCTTATCACAAAAATTGATAAGGGCGTGCTTCGGTGGTTTGGGCACGTTGAACGAATGAGTGAAGACCGAATGGTGAAGAAAATATATAGCGCGAAAGTTAATATTAAAAGGTGTCGAGGTAGACCGAGACTAACTTTCGAAGACCATGTGAGCAAATTGCTCGAAGAGGGTAGGGTCAAGAGTACTCGGATACCTAGACGTGCATGCATGAAGAAGATAATGAATCTGAAAGAAGCGAAAGAGGTTTGTAAGGATCGTGACACTTGGCGATTTGTTCTCTCTGGCTACCCCGTCAGGGATTGTGCGTGAAGATAAGTAAGTAAGTAAGTAAGTAAACAATGTTCTGTAGTTTTGCAAATTTCCTGTTAACGTTATGTATTGAATTTATTAACTTAATAATTTAAAATATTATTTTTAATTTCAAGCTTTTTTTATAGGATAGGGTGACAAACGAGCACACAGTCCACCTGATGGTAAGTGATTGCTGTGACCCATAGACATCCACATTTCTATCCTCAATAAAGAATCAAAATGCAGATGCGTTGTCACCTGTGAGGACTAAGATGGAATGCCTCTTTTCCAGTAAAAAGAGTCGCTGGTTCTCTACACTCACCATACGAAACACAGCAGTGTAGCTGTTATTTTACGCTGGTATTTTATGAGAGCGTGGTCCTTCCCCGGTCGAGCCGACCCATTCGTGCTACAACTATACTATTAATATACCTAGCTGCAGCATGGCTCTATCACGTACAAACATTGACTTTTATATTCATTTCAAATCAATTAAAAACATCAGACATGTCAAATGATGGTTTATTTATCATTACAATATAAAAGGAAGTTTTTTCAAATTTGTAAATGAATTAATATCAATATAAATAATAATACACGTCGGTATGAAATAGGTACAAACTTAGTACTTACATATACCTCTCTATAAAGAAAACGATACACTAGTATTTTCTTCTGAAGTCGGGACTCATGGACAAACATCCAGACCCGGAAGAATTATTTGTAGGCCATAATATTATAGACGTGTTCCCAGCGTGATTCTATCCCGTTGTCTCGCTGCGCCGCAGAAGCTCTTAGTTGCGCTACCAAGTCAAAATTACGTATTAGATACAAGTATAATTGCTAATATTATGCTTTGTGCATTTCGCTTTACGTTTATAATATCTTTATATTGTTGCTATACAACAAATCTTTGATTAATAGTCTTGTATATTTTTTTATTATTGTTCAAATTAGCCTTTGTTTTTTATTTATTAAAATACCTTTTGTACGAGTTCAAATCTTATGATTAAGATTCCCGCGAATTTGAAACAGGTTTTGACAATATGTTTAATCTTTGTTATTTGTGTAACATTTCAGACATACAAAGAATGATCAGCATCAGTCATAATTCAGTCATCATTAATATTTTAATGAATTAACAGATAATTTAATACATAAAAATTACAAAGTTGAGTGGGTACTCTAAGCACAACTAGCATTTAAACTTAAGCTCCTAAATTGCATTATGCTAATTTTAAATCACACTGCGCCTTCATTCCTTTAAACATCTGATGTGTGGGCAGCCGAGTCATATAATTTTGCGATGCAATAGGGTAAATGTGGCAGATCAGTCAGACAAAGGGATATGATCCTCGTTTTCGTTCTGGATCTTTTCTTGTGCAAAGGATATCGTTAGCAATTCAGCATGGCAATGCTGCTGGCGTTATTCCTTTTGACTTTACTTGACTTTACCCTAGAGCAGGTAACGATTCAGAGTGGGCTCTTTAAACAGAAACAGAAACTTTTTTTATTCAATATAGATTATAACTAATACTTATTGAAAGTCACTCTTTTGTTATTTACCACTGGTTCGGGATAAAACCAGCTTACAATAACAGCTTACAATCATGTACTCGTACGTTACACAATTAACAACACAATACAAATAAAAAATAGCTAGGTAGCGATCAATCATTCACAGGGTTTATTATCATCCATAAATTACTTAATATGATAATAATCCTTTTTATTCAAATTCAGTTAAATAAAGTTTTTGAACTTTGAGCAGGTCTAATTTTGTATATTTTCTGGGATTTTGCTGTGAAAGCGTATATACCCAAAATAATTAATTACTGACTTGGTGGATTCGAGTAACTGGTATTTCTAGCTTGTGTCTGTTTCTAGTATTTACAGAATGAATATCACTTATTTTTGTAAAACTACTTTTATTTTTGTGTACGTACATTACATTTTCATAAACTAATGAATAGAGTTTATTAGATACTCTTATTCCCAAAGTTTTCTTTCCTCCATTGAAGGATTAAGATAGAACTACGCAACCTGTCACCTCTAGACTATCGTTAAGCCATCATGTTTACTTTTCTTTTTTCTTCATACCATAACTACGTGATAGAGCACCGCTGGGGTCGTAATATGGTTGCAGCACACGTGAGGCGGCTCAACTGGGGGGACGAACCTCTCACAGAATAGCATTGTAATACAGAACCCTAATGTGTTTCTTAAGCTATGTGACGAGAATCGGAGATCCTTTTTAATGGTAACGAAGCATTTCACTTAGTCCTGAGGAGTGATCACATCTGCATTATAATTTTTAATTAAGGATAGATGTACGGTATCTATGAGGCACAGCGCTACATACCAGCGTAAAATAACAGCTTCATGCTGCTGTTTCGTATGGTGCGTGTAGAGAACCGGAGACCCTTTTCACTGGAAACGAAGCATTCCATCTTAGTCCTCATGGGTGATAACGCATCTGCATTTTGATTCGTAATCGAGAAAAGATGTAGATGTCTATGGGCTACAGCACCACAGTATTTATATTATTTGATGAAACTTATATCATTTTGTTAACACTAAATATATTTATAGAGAGAAACTGTGATAAAGAGTTTGAGTAAATAGAACATTTTATAACTGTTACATATTTATAACTGATAGTAGCAAGTACGTTACCATTTTGTGTAAAAAGTAAATTAGCAGTGGACTTATAGACTGAGAGCTGGCGACGAATTTTGGGAAGGTCCTTTGGGAAAGTTGAAATTGTGAAAAAAATATAATTTCGTCAATTGGCGAATCCAGTCCCGCGAGTCTGGCTGAGCGTTTGCGGTTATTTTGTTACTGCGCAGTGTATAACATTTGCAAACATTTTTTTTTAGTTCCCAAAAAATATACTTTTGGCAATCTCAAATTTTAATCACGTGTTTATTGAGTAATTTTTAATAACACCTGCAAATCGCCAGACGAATTTAGCTGTTTTAAACAATTGCCAGACATGAATAAAGTTTACCAACTAATACGACAAAAAAGACTTATGCGTAGCCATAAGTGCGAGAAAGATAGCTTATCGAAGCAGCGGATGGAGGCCTAAGCTCCTCGCGCTGTGATTGGTTATTTAGAAATATTTTTTTGAAGATTTTTAGATTAAATTCTAGTTTATTATTTTTTTAATTATATAAAAATTAAATTAAAAGATAAAAAAGAAATCAAGTTGCCAAAAGAACATTTTTTGGAATTTTTTTTGGAAATGTTATATACTGCGCAGTAACAAAATAACCGCAAACGCTCAGCCAGACTCGCGTGACTGGATTCGCCAATTGACGTAATTATATTTTTTCACAATTTCAACTTGTCCAAAGGACCTTCCCAAAATTCGTCGCCAGCTCTCAGACTATTAGAAATTAAACGGTGAAATAATAGAGATCTTATAGTAGCCTCATATCAAACAGTCATAAGAAATTATTAGTTAATTATCTTTTCTCTTTCTTATCTTTAGCAAATTTTCTTATACAAAGATGATAAAGAGCTGGTGAGTATTTAGTATATAT